AATTGCCTAACAAACATTTTTAGCCGTGGATTGATAAAGAGAAAAATTTCCTAATTTGATGTTTATAGATATACCTACTTTTAATACATTTTAAGGGAGGTGGAACTTAAATCTATCAATAAAAAAAAAATATTTTATTCAAACACWAAAATTTGGGCAAATTTTTTTTTCGAATAGTGCGTCCTATACAGTCCTTTGCTGAATGCACCATAAACCCTCTAGTCTATGATCGTAAGAATATTTTTACACTCGGGGCTTAATGATTGCAAATAATAATAAATACTTACGTAGCCGCWYGAAATAATCATCGCAATACCAAACAGCAACGTTATGTAAAATGTCGACGAAATCATTTTGAAATCACGTTGGTTGCGTTTGTGCGAGACAGAGAATTATTGTCGTTATTACCACACTGTCGTGACACCCCGTCGGGAAGAAACTGTACGCGATGTTTCATTACAATATCATAATAGTATGCATTATATTATAAGTACAAATTGAACAACCGTCCAGACAGACTTTGGAGTTTGCGATTGTGTGAGTCGTGTATAGCATACAAAGGTTAATAATAAGCTATCTACGGGTCATTAATTTCGTCTGTGTGTGCTGACCAAATAAAATACATTACAATTGTTATATTATATAGGTATTGGAAGGAACGAAAAAAAATGTACGATGTACCGTCTGTTAATAATAAATTGTTGTAAATGAAAAAAAAAACATGATAATTTATTGTAACGTGCATTTGAATTTTTAATACCTACACACAATATGTTCTACAATTATTATACAAATCACATATTATTATCATTATTAAAAAAAAAAAACACTTCAGACTATAAAACTAATGTTCCTTTGTGCTCGAGATCTATCAGCTGCTGATTGAAGGTGACGATGTCTATAGTGGTAGATACTCTAAACTCTGAAAACAAATAAAACATATTTATGTTAACACTTTAATAATGATATATATACGGCGGAGGAAGGTAAACTGAGTAGATTGAATGCATAGAGAATCTTGTTAAAACAGTGTAATTCACTAACTATGCTGACTCCCATAAATTTCTTTAATGACGAATATAATAAAATTTGGACTTTTAGAACTTTATAACAACCTTAAAATTATATATCAAATATGTTATCCCATTCAAAGAGTGTCCTTAAAAATGTATTATTTCGGAAATAACCATCGTAAACTGTTAAGTAGATTTTTTTTAAGTTGTTGATATATACAATTAAAAATTTGTACGAGTTGTTTTTAAACTTGTAAATTTTATATACTATGGTATGAATTATGGTCCTTGATAAATGATCCAAAGATATGATGATTTAAAATTATGCCAGTAATTAGTATTTTTATAACTAGGTACCCATTTATTAGCAGATTATAATGATTGTAAAAATTTCCGAATGTTACAAGTAAAAACTAATAAATATTGCGTAGGTATTATATTTTATATTTTATGTAAAACAATTATTAAGGATTACTACTTTCATTAGTCCATTAAGTTATTAAGTTTAATAACTCAACATCTAGTCAAACAAACCTCAAATTCCGAATTTGATTTTGGACTCTTTTTTTTTTTAAACCCAAACACAAGTTTTACCTGGATATTCATTAAATTACATAAAAACATTTTAATAACTGAAAATATGTTTTTTAAGTATAAATAAAAATACCAAAATAATCATAATTCGATTTAGCGATAAATGGGTGGAACGCAATCGATAAGGTTTACATAAATATTACTAAGCGTGTGCAAATCCCCCGTCCGTCGTATCGGTTTATTACAATTCACGATGCCTACAATATACATTATAATTATTAATTTAAATGATATCGAAATCACACGTGCAACAGATTATAGTCGTAATTATAAATATAAACGGTCGTTATAATTTCAATGAAAATCTTATAAGTGTAACATTTTACGGCTTCGGACGCCGTTAAACTATTAACTATTATAACTCGATAATAGTACTGTTAAACCGATTCCATTAGTATTTGATTCTAAAAAAAAATATTGAGCATTTAAAATACTTGGTCACACGTTTATAATAATTCGTGGTAATAATAACGAACGTTTGTGAAGAACAATCAAACGATAATTGATTTTTAATCATACAACTGTCCCAGTGATTAAATTATTTCATCATAATGCATTGAAAACTATATTTCCGTGACTAATTTATCCTAAAATTACCAAGATTTACAATATTAACTACCTAAAAACAGTTATCAACTAGGTATTTCGAAATTGTCAGTGTCAATTAAGTAGAATTAACCATAACGCACATTTAACTGTAATTAATAATAATTATGGGCGTTTTTTTCTTAACTCACAGTACCTAACCGTAAATTGTTTTCATAATCGAATATATTATTTATCATCATCGTTCAAAATACGATCATGAACGAAGCATATGATTTATCAGCAACCGTTATTGTTATGTCTGGTAGCATAATCAAAGGCCCGTCAATAGTTAAAATAACAAATCTAAATTATTAGGTATTTTTTCAATCATTTAACAAACGTGTAACTTCCTGAAACATTAATTAGTTATAATTGAAAACAAAAAATAATGAACTATTTTTAACTGAATGAAATTTATATTTTTTTTAATTAATTTTTTTTCTTAATTCAAGTTAATTCGTTCATTAAATTATCCACCATCAGTGCCTATCAATGTATAACAACAGATTGTGAAAACTAAAAATTATCTCACCAAAAAGCTATAACAAACATTTTTAGACTTGATGTTCGATCCTCACAGCTGCTTTTCTACCCATAAAAATGGTAATGGTAAAACGGTAAAAGTTTATCCGAAAAATTAACAAATTAAAGATCAAATTTTTCCAGTAAGATTCGGTCAGTTTTACAGAAATGTTGAAAACATTTGAACTTTAAACCCGTCTGGTTAATTGTTTTAAAGTATAACTTATCAATGTTATTAGTAAAATTTAGTAGTATTGATTTCAATCAGACATTATTTGAATTTAAAATAGAATACATTTACGATTAATCAAATATTTAATATCAGTTTTCGTTTTTGATTTTTAATTCGCAGTAATATTAAAACACTTAATTGGAATGTTTTTTGACTTTTGTAATAAAAAATTGATACGTAATTGATCACAAAAATAAAATATTATGGAGATTGGTTGAAAACATCACCAACTTCAAAACTGAAAGATCATAAATAAAATCATTTTATTCATCTAAAAGTATATTGAGGCCAATAAATTTTAAATTTTCACAATTTTATTCACTGTTTCTATATTATATTACTAATAAACTATATGATATTTTTGAGTTACTTTATCATATTATGTTTATGGGCAATACATTATCAAGTTGAGTTTTCAATAAACATATTATTAGTTAACGATAAGGTATTGAAACAAAATAATATTATATAATAGTGTGCCATTAGCAAACAAATTTATTGTTTGTAAATCAATTATATAATTGTTATTTACTCACTTTAGGATCAACGTGATGCGCGCACTTTATGAAGTTATATGAAGCCTGACAGAGTTCTTCACCATTATCTAAAACCAAGCAAATTTATATAAAAACAAAACGTCAATCAAGCGAAATAATAATATAAGTAGGTAGGTAAACAGTTCAGCTGTACAATGCCATAATAGTACCTACCTATCTCTATTTTTCTTAATATTTTGCAAAATAATTGTTTTCATAAAGTATTTCAGGCTTAACGACTTTGTAATTGCTGTGTTTTCTTAGTGTGAACACTTTTTAAATAATTGTGTGATTCCAAAGATGATTTGGACAGAAAGATTCACAACGAATTGTTAAAAATGATTATGTATAAAAGTTATTTTTGATATGAATGTTGGTTTTATTGTGTTTTGACATTGTACAGCCGAGTTGTTATAATATACGATTACCTTTTCCGATACACTGCTCAATAACTGGTAAAAAAATGCTGTACACATTCGGTGGAGCCATCATTGACATTTTGTCTTTGAATATTTTTTTATCAAGAGATCCTTTTTGATTGATCTAAATGTATTTACACATGGTGTTATTGTTATTATTTTTATTGTAGCTATGTATTAGAGTATCAACGTTTTTGACACATTTAACAAAATACAATACCATATTATTTAGTTAAACTAATAATTTGTACACGGAATGATTCAGCAATGTACTGGTTTTGCAGTTTTCAATTATATAATTTAAGATCCATATTTTCGAATATTTATTTGATTTTGTATACAATTTAAGGAGTAGGTATTTTATGCGATACCTAATTTTCATTTTAAATGAAAATCATCTCTTATTATCCTTTATCGTGTAAATTGTTAAATATATATATATATTTTTTTTTTTTTTGAAAATGTTGAGGTAAATAGGTACTTAAATCAAAATTCAAATTTTATCTAGTTTACGAGTTATTGAAATAAATATATTAAGGATAGTATAGTCCCTGGCAATATTTTACAAAAATAGAAAACAGAAATATTTAATCTAGTTATATTTTAAATTTAAAAACAAATTTACCTACAGAGAAAAATTTTAAATAGATATTTCAGAGTTTTAAAATGATTGTAAGTTTTTAAATCATTGATGGTATGAAACAATTTTTAAATAACATAATCCTTGAGTATATTCACAAAATTCAATATTTTGGATTTGAATTAATTTATTATTAACAGAACAAAATTGGTGAATCACTCTGTCTTATTTTATTGTTATAGAATTTTCTTAGTCTGCGAATTCAAAACACAAGCAAGAGGATGTTATATTATTTAATTCTTATTGCAGATAGCGACTCTCAATAAAGTGCACATCATACATATAATACAAAATAAACTAATTAAAACTACAACGACAAAGTTGATTCTTTTTCCTATTTGGAACAATATAACGACCAAATGCTATATTAAATATATTATATATTATAAATTAAATATTAATATTGTTCTGTTTAACAATCTAATAATATTATTATGTTTAGAATAAATAGGCGAAAATTCGAGGGGAAAATGTAACCACAGGTTAATTTTTTAAACTGTTATTCGTGTCTTGTTATATTATCATCATCACTTTCAAATATCATAAATATAATATGTGTTATTAATAGAATAAAAATTAAATGCAAATTTCGAATAAGAAGCACACGTCATGAGTGGCACTTGACTGGAAACAGGGGAAAAATATTTAAAAAAATAAAATTACCCAATTAACAGTTTTAATTAATCATCATAACTTACATTTAATTTTATCATAATAATAATATTAATACTATAGATGATATTATATTACGTATTAGTTAATAACTTCGAATTTACGAAAGTTTACTGCATAAAGTATTTTAATAACATATGATAATTTATATTATGTTTTTTGTTATTAATATAAGTACTCAGTTATTGGAAGGTAAATATATTATTGTCATAACAGGACGAACAATATAAAGTTTTCTAATCTAATATGATTAAGAATTTCTTATTTATAGAATTATATATATATATATATACATAGAACATTTGATAACAACAAGACGAAATCAAACAAACAATAAAAAAACTGCCCACGGTCCATAGCTATTTGTGAATCTATATTAAAAAAGTATATTAATACATAGTAGTTATTTATATGAGATAATAATAATATAGGTAATGTCATTGAAATTAAAATTATTCTAATCTGTATTGAAAAGTAAGAGGGCATAATAAAAAACAAAAAAAAAATATGGTTTATTTGATGATTGTTCACCTATCTAATGATATTTATTTATATAATGAAATATGTTTATACAAAATCCACACAAAGTTATTCAGTGTTAACAGTTTTCATAGATTACAACGTACTTAGGGTAAAATATTATGAGCAAAATAGGTAGGCAAACATTGTCCTAATTGAACTTATAATAATCCGTTGTATTTGTAGCATAATTCAATTAAAATAAATTAATAATTACAGTAATATTATAAAATGGCATGTCAGTTAAATTTAAATTATTTGTGTACATCAAAACAGAATATCAAAAAATCATTTTATTGTTTTAAATGAACATGTATGTGATATTAAAATTAGCTATTACGAAAATTGAAGTAGGTACTTGCATAACTTTATCAATAACATCATGTTATATTATCCTATTTTCATAATATTCAATCTTTTTAAATGTTTGTTGTTTAAATTTATAAAAAAAATTGATAATAATGTGTCAACTACTCGAAATATTGCTAATGGATAACTCAATAATTTTATTATTCATTGGGAATTTTATAGTCTGAATTCATTATGAATCGTTATTCGACCAATGTGAATGTGTAAGTTTATACTGACTGTAAGATTTCGTATAGTACCTACAGAGAAATCATGAAAAATACTTATAAATAATGTTTACACATGCAAAATATAATAAATATACACATAGGTTTTATACATTATGACTTATGAATCTATACGTTTCCTTAATGTAGTTAATAGCCCCTTAAAAATATTATCACTGGCATGCTCTTAAAAGTTTGTACCAATTTATGCGTTGTATATTATGTGCGATTATATCTTACTATATGACACTAAAACATTATACTTAATACTTTTTGAGTAGAAAATGGCTATTATAATAATAATAATAGTTACCTATTACAATATACCGATTTATTATTTAGATATACTTATATTATAGGTACGCATAATACATAATATTATAATAAATAAGTACTTACCAATTGCATAGTTTTGAAATTACAGGAAAAGTAACACTAAAACAACAATCATCATTATATAATATAATTATTACAATTAAAACTATTTGAAATACATTTAAATTTTAAAATAACGAATTATGAGTCATTTTGTAATATGCACGTTTAATAATTGTCAGAGAAATTAAAAATGCTGTTACTTTTATGTTGTTGTTGTCCTCCGGAAATATTCCTTTCTTGATGTTGGAAAATACGTCTGTGATTTATTAACCATCATATGTAACATAAGATCAGTATGGATAAATTAAAATGCTCGTTTTAAAAAATATTATGTATAAATTCTTTACCCTCTTCAACTGCATATTTCTTGGAGCATACGGATTTCAACATCTGTTGTGTTTTTTTAATGGCTGCTTCACTCAAGTACTATAAGAGTTAAAATGTTGAAAATAATATTGGTACAATATTGTTAATAATAAATTCAGTTGTATTATACTTAAACTTAAGGATTTGTAATGATTTATACTCATAATATGATATTTTTTGGTGTAAAAATGTACAATATAATTATAAGACTCTGTATAGTATACATGTGGTCACCACTCACCATTTACCATCTTTGAAGGGCCAAATAAGGAATCTTGAAAAATTGTTTGTGGACCATCATTATTAAAGACGTTGGTAAAAATCAATGAACAAAAATGATAAACTATAACACCAGAACGTATAATATTATCGATTTTTACTTTTTATTCTTGTCTGTGCCCTGTGGACCAGATAAAATTGGTCCGCGGGCCGCCATTTGGTGACCCCTGGTAAATTTAAATATCTATCTTTTAGTTGACAATCTTACGCCTGTTCCTTGAACTATAATAATAATCAGGTGCATAGGGTAGAGCGACCATATTATATTTTGTTCCTACGATAGGTATTATTATTTTAACCAATACACAAAATATGAAATTGTTTTTTTCCTGTGGCCATAACATTCGTATTGTTAACGTTTATTTCTTTGAATCATCGTACAGTTTAAATGACGAATGTTATACTAAATCATTGCTAATTTATTCAGAAGTTAAAGATAATAATTTTTTGGTTAGACTCTAGAATTATTATATAATTATTTTTTAATAAGAATTAAAAACCACACTTATTGATTACCTATGTCAAACAGTAAAATAAAGATCCAAAAGCTATGGTACACGTCCTATCAAACATAATATTTTTCGGTGAAATCAAATAACGTTTCAGCCATTCGCTTTGCAATAATAGCTTCGTTAAATTACTATCAAGGGCCCATCGTAAAATATGTTGCCAAGATCAAATCTAAATAAATAAAATATGATACTGAATATTATCTTATAATAATATATATTATTAAATCTTGGATTGACAGAGGGTAATTATTATAAACGGAGCAGAAATGTGCAACGGAACGTTTCAAAAACGCATATTATAATATTAAAATTCGTATGAAGATTATAATATATACGACAATGTATTTTTTTTTCAACGATTATATCTGTATTCTATTTGAATATTTTTAAAAATTCCGTGGAAATAGTTTACCTAAGTGACATAAATTTAAAAGTGAAAATAACAATACTCACAGCGTCGCAATCATTCAAAATGGTCGCCGCTATTATGGTGAGCAAAACCAACGTCGTTGGTAACATATTCATTTTTTTCTGATCCTGCATACTTCAGCTGWGTTCCTTTTCTATTTGCACTTCATCTGCGTGTAAACTATTATTGAGGTTTATTGGAACTTTATAAGTAATACTCGATAGTCGTGACCTTCAGACAACGACGCCGGTTCGTACAAAATAATGTATTTTAATAATACTAACACAATTATTACAAAAATTACAAAAATTACGAGCTATGTACTGTGTTATTAATAACTAATAAATGATATTATACACTGCGCGATAACAATGACTACATTATACAGAGCACCCGAATATAATGACGAGTTGTGTGACACGTGATTTTATGTCAGATGGTTTGATTGTCACTCAACCGTACGATACGCATATAATTATTGGTAAGTTCCCGCCTTACATTGTAAGGCATATTAACATGCATTAATATAACTACCTAATATTATAATAATATACCTACTAACTGCATAGCTGGTCACATAATCGATAGATACGCTCGAAAAACGCGTCGGTATCATTTTTGATGCTGACGTAAAATATGAGCCAAGCGCACCAATAAGATGTGTCTTGGATTCGATACATTTATCTGTGAATATTAATTATACAGTCAGATTAATAGTATAACGATAGGTCATACCAACATCCTGATCTGACGTTATTTGCCTATTACACATCATTATTCACGCAAAACCGTGAACTAAACTATATCCCCTAGTTTATCTTTCAATTTAAATAACAAACAAATTTAAGTACATACGTCTTATAATAAAAAAAAAAATTAAATACCTATCTAACTCAAGTTTAGTATCTCTATAATGGGTAAACTATCAAGAAACAATGTGAAAACTGGAATATTTATATAACACCAGTTTTCAACAAAATCTAAATTGTTTTTTGTTGTTATATTTAAAAAAACAAAACCGTAGAAGCTTGATGTTTTCAACAAATATTTAAACTATCAATGAAATTATTTTAAAAATGTTATGATCATTTAAAATTAATTATTCAAGTCTATAGACATTTTAGTTTTGATTTTTTTTTAAAATTATTTTTCCATTTATATTTAAAAAAATATCATTTTTGTTGCCCATTATCTATGATTAAATTATAATTTTTTAAAGATTAATGTACGATTAATTTTATTAAAAGCGTTTACTATCAAAATTCTCGCCGATGAACGTGAAATATGTTTTGGTAAAATAAATTATGTTTTTTAATAAACTCGTTAATCTATGCCTAATATGTTTTAACTA